AGCTTTGGTTAGTCAGGTTATGCTGCAACAAATCCTGTTCTGTCAAGTGGCAGGGACAGGACAATCTCCCGACAGCAGAAGCAAACAGTTTCAGCTGTAATTCATAAGGTTGTATATCGCAGGTTCATATCTCAGCCACAGAACGGCACATTTGGCCTTGAAACATTGACAGTTGCAAGTAAAAACAGAGGCTTTATATCTCTCGCCAGTCTTCTTGATGGATGAGTGACTGTCTAGCCATGTTGTGCAAACTTGTTTTCAATGAGCTTTCCCAAAATTTCTTATGACCCATCCTATAGTCACAGATATATTTTGAATGAAAATTAATAAACTGGTGTGGCATTATTTTAAAAAAAGGAAGTTAGTGTTTAAAATAAATTAAATTAAATCAAATTGCTGGAAAGTTTTATAGACTAACCCTTTAATGCTTTCATTGGTCTGTGACGATATCTTAATAAGTAGGTGTGGCTTCAAGGCCCTGCCTTCTTTGAGCAAATCTATTCAAATGTATTTGTTTTGTTCTGTTTGGGTCAAATGTGAGTAAACAGAAACCCCCCAGCAGGCATAGGACATCAACATGACGTCAGCTCGACGTTGTACCCCAACATCATGGGATGTTGCATTTAGTTTGGAAATTTAAAATTGGGTTGATGTCAGAGCCCAACACCACGCCCACGTCAATGTCCAAAGTCAGACAGACATTGCATTTTGGTTGCTTTCCAACGCAGCTTAAAAAACAAAACAAAATAACAAACGTCTAATTATGTTACAGCTTGTACAGCATAGTCACATATCATGCAATTTAGGGTGCATACTGTGGACTGAGATAATTTTTTCTGAAAGCAGTAAAAATGTCAGTCATTTACTAACGTTAATTTTCAATTTAAAATCAAAGTGTAGTTTAAGCTAATAAATTAGAGAGCTATAAATCAAAATGATGTGACTTCATAAGAGTTAAAGAAGTTAGAATTAAAGAACTGTGATTTTAAAAAACTTCCTTAACTGATGTTTTCTCACCTCAATCGTTTCATTTGATCTTCATGTAGAGCGCTGGGCTGCAAATAGGTTTATGCCAAAACAAATGTTTTATAATAGTGAGAGATAAGCAGATGTACACTACCTGACAAAAGTATTGTCGTGGATTCCAGTTGTAAGAGCAACAAATAATAACTTGACTTCTAGCTGATCATTAGGAAAAATGTTAGAAGATAGATTTTTTTGATGAATCCTCTGTTAAACTGCATCCCAATCATCACAAATACTGCAGAAGACCTACTGAAACCTGCATGGACTCGAGATTCTCACAGAAATCAGTCTAGTTTGGTGAAAGAAAAATCATGGTTTGTGGTTATAATCAGTATGGGGGTGACAAGACTTTTGTCCAAGCAAAGCCAGACCTTACTGTCCTAATTAAATAATTAAAAATCAAGGCATGATCATATTATATTTTGGTTAAAAAAGCGTAATCTAGAGGAATTTGCCTTTCATATAAGGCACTTCTGATACCAAATGATCAACTAGAAGTCAAGTTATCTGCTGTTCCTAAAACTTAAAACTTTTTTTCAGGTATAGTGTACAGTATGTGTGTGTGTGAAGAAATCTCATCTAGTGTGTTGGAAAATGTATAGCATCATTTTTTGTTCATCAGATGAAGCATTACACGTAGCAATTTTTGTGTTACATTATTGTCAAGAACAATAATGTATCAACTAGTTTTCTATAGTGAAAGGATGGCTTTTTTTGTTTTTGTATTGTGAATGGGTTTTATGTAACATTTTGCAAGTGATTTGTTTTTTACTTGAAATTTAAATTCCTTAATGTAAATTTAGATCCAAAACTGCGATTGGTGCATAAATGTCTTTGTTCAAATAAAATGCAGTGATTATTTAGCATGCTTGACTTTTAGATATATTTTCAAGTTTTTTTTTTTTTTAATCCATGTACTAATTATTTTATTTTATTGTTTCTTGCTTAAAATAAATACAAACTGTTTAAAAAATCATCAGTTAATCAGTGGTTACTTATGATTGTCATGTAAGTATAAAGATTGATCCATTTGCTTGTGAAAATGTACTGCTTTGACCTAGAGAAAGCTGCTTAATTTTAAAGTTTCTATACTATTTAGCCACAAAAGGCAGGTTTAGATAAAGAGAAACACTCTGAAATACTTTTTCACTCATAGTAGTCTTGTGTCTGCTGTTGTTTGTAACATCCCTCTTGGTTCAGACACAGAGGTGCTACCAGATGAGAGACGTCACGGTAAATTAAACTCTGAAGCTGAGAGACTCCGGCTCTACTTTTCTGAGGTTTCATTTCTGGAAGCCCAGAACTCTGCCTGTCACAAATGTAATGTTTATACATCAACACATGGCCTGAGGCACATGCTGTAATAGTTTTAGACACCCTCATTATAAAGAACAGCCATGGGTGATTGCATACAAACAAACATAGTGAATGTGGAGACACAAACATACACATCAGGAAAAAAAAAAAACTAGCTCCCAAAATATCAGTCACATGTTCTTTGTAAATCCAGGCTTATCTGTTGTAGCGTCTGGGGTTTCTGGTTTCCAGAGGACATGTCGATGCCTATGCCGTTTTAGAGGACGAATGGGGAGGCACAGGAAACGCTATTGAATGAAATATGGATTTATTGGCCACGAGTCATAATCTAAATCATATTAATCTCTGCTCGATCATTAGGGTCAGTGTAATTTGTGGTTGCTGCTTAAGTGATTGTTGATAATGTTCCATTGCAGAGTATTTGTAGACAGAGATTTAATACAGTGCTGGATGCTATTAGTTAAGATTTGAAGAGAAGAAAATGACAGTTTGTATTCAAAGCAAAATTGTTTTCGAATAAGTTATTAACATAAATGTTTCTGATAGGGTTTTCACGAAGGCAGCCAGTTCTGATTCTGTTGCAGTTTTGTGATTCAAAGAACTATATGTGGTAACCAGCTATTTGAAAAATAAATAAATAAATTATAAAATTATCTACAAATATATTTAGGGCTGGGTGATTTGGTCTAAAATCAAAATCTCAATTGATTAAACATTTTAACTCTATTTCGATTCAATTTTATTTATTTATTTTATGTTTTTGCCCTCATAGTTCACTGACAGGTTTTGTACAATAAATATGCTCACATATTTCAAGTGAGAGATTTCTGAATGAAGGGTGCAGTACTTGATTTTTTAATTATTGAAGGAAACACTGTCTACTATTTATGATTATTTATTGAACATCAATGCTGAACAACTGAAATTAAAACACACATTGCCTAAAATGTGGCTCTCCGTGCCACCCACCTCATCACTGCTACCAAACCGTCTAATCACAAAGCTTGTGCTACGTGTCGTTGTGACATGTAGTTAAATTCTTTTTGAGAGATGCACGGGTATGAGAAGGCTGCGCCTGACCGAACGCTTGCGCTCGGCAAAAGTATAATATCAGAATAATATAATAAGTATAAATCATTATATAATGGGTATAAATTAGCTTTAATAGAGCGGGGTCATGTGACTCTATGGTAGGGAAAGTAATTGGAAAAAATTGACCTGGAAAAATTAGATCGATTATAGGTTCTCAATGTCAATTTCGATTAATCGCCCAGCCCTAAATACGATGTATTTCAAACAAAGGTTGCATTTAAAACATCAAAACAAGTTAGTGATAAAATGAAAAATATACTAGGCCTATGTAAAAAAAAAAAGACCAAAAAATAAAATGTTGGAAGAGCAAAAACAAGCTTAGATGAAAAAGACATCTTCATCAGACCCTTTTTACAACACGCATTTAACGAACATCATAATCTTAAATCCTTGAATTTTTTAAATATTTTTTATTTTATTTTATTATTATTTTTTTTAAATTGGTATGCATTTATGAATGTATTATATCATCAAATAAAAAAAAAAAGAATTACCACTTATGTGAGGTGTTTCTACTGCAGCTTCTATGGAGCTGAGTTAATTTGACGTTATTCTCTCCTCTGAAAATGGAAACCGGAAATGTGAAAAGGGTCTTTTAGCTTAGCAAACTTATACTTTACAAATATTTATATTTTCAGTTCAGTCAACATTTAGAATATCTAAATCTAACAAATTTTATAGTCATGTTTGGGCCAGCAAAAGAAACTATTTATGGAATATTTTGTAGAGAGATGATTGAAAACAAAAAAGCAAAAACAAAAAAAACTTAGAACTAGTAACTAAATAATAATTGAAGTAGGGATGCACAATATATTGTTTCAGCATCGATATTGCAATGTTTGAATCTGCAATTGTCACATCGCAGGATCTGCAATGTCATGTTGGGATTATAATTAAAAAGGGAAAAAAGATTATGCTGCTTGTTCAAACTACTTAATTAAAATGAGCTGAATCCACACAATTCTTGAGACTTTTCTTGGACAACGTAACTGTTTTATGTTTAATCCACCTAAATATGTTACATTAACTTATCTGATTTGTGTTGGGACAACATGAGCGGTTGTGTAGCACAATTGTGTGCATTTTGCACAGTGCAGTGCACATGATTTGTGGAGTCATTGTGAATTTTAACTGTAAACTAATAGTGTTTATTATAAAATTAAATTATAAAATATACCACTTTTACAAAGATTATTTGTTTAGAAAATGAAGACTATATCGTGAAATTTTAGATTTGATCATTTTATTTCTGTACCTCAAAATTGTTAGATTCCCCCGGAAAGCATAAAGTGCTGTTTATTTCATTTTTTATTATCTTTGTTCTGTTGTGTTCATTTTCATGTTGAGCGGCTAATCTAACTAACTCAAATGTCTCCAAATGCCCAAGGGCTCACCTAATCAAACATGTTTTTGACTAGCTCAGCGCTTCAAAAGACACACTGCAAAACAGAAACCTTCAACGTATTTCTGACAGCACTTGGCTGCATTCCTGATTCGGTTTTGACCTTATGAACAGTAAAAAGGGCTCTGTACTTGTTTTAACCCAGTGTCCTCTGCTCTGACAGGAGGACTATGATCGCCTGCGACCCCTGTCCTATCCTATGACGGATGTCTTCCTCATTTGCTTCTCCGTGGTCAATCCGGCCAGCTTCCAGAATGTAAGAGAGGAATGGGTCCCTGAGCTGCAGGAATATGCACCAAACATCCCTTACCTGCTCATTGGCACTCAGGTACACAAACATGCCTCACATACACCACTGTAATACTTCAAATTTACAACAAATAATGCTTTTCAGAACAATTTCATATCTTGGTCATGAGTGTCTCTTAAAATCGCTCTAACTTTGGCCGTCTGATAAAAGAGGATATATTTGTTATACTTTCGACTACCTTTAGAACATAATATCACTGTTTGAGAAGTAAAAAATGCTGGAAGTTTCAAAGCATCTTCTCTAAAGAGCGTCAATAAGAGTTAACTACCACACCATTGTTACAGGAACTAGTTACAGGAACTCAGACATAAGAACTATCCACCAGGCCTGGCTCCTTGTGAACTAATTTCCCCTTGTCCAGTTTTGCTGGTTGCACTGTCAGTGGGAACTCTGAGGTGATGTCAACTGTGTGATCTCAAAGTGATGTTGACAGCGACATCAATCACTGCATTCAACTAAATCAAAAGCTAAAGAATGGACGACTTTGTGTTTGAAGCTGTTTACTGTGTTACAGTGTGATAATGAAGATGGAACTTGCGTTACTGTATTTCCTATCGTACTAGATTAGACCTTGCTCTGTACTAGAAGCTAATGTAGTTCACAAAAATGTCATTCCCAGAACTAAAATCCCAGTTCCTGCAGTTTGAGCATGCCAAAAACTGGTATATCTGTCAGTAGTTCTAGGAACTAAAAAGTTCCTCTGTTATGAAAGCCCCAAAACTTGATTTCCTATCTAACTGTTGAAATGACAAGGCTTTAAGACACATGGAGATTTTGCGAGAGAGTGTCAGTTAAAAGCACACATGATTTCTCTCTCTCTTGCGTGCACAAAGGCATATCTAATAACTCCATAGTAACATGCATTAGCTACCTACATGGAACTGCATGTGCATTAAACCATTTGTATTTTAATGTTTCATTGCCAGATACTAAATAAAACAAATCAAATCACAGATTCTCAACAAACAATTAACATAGTTTGAACACCTAGCTACTAAGGGTGTCACGATCTTCCAAATCCTCGATTCGATTACATTTTCGATTCTAAACGCACGATTCGATTCGATTTTCGATTATGAATAATTATTAATTAAAGACCAATTAATTATTTGTAGCCTACCGTTTAAACTACCTGACCTGCGAGGTCTTTGTTTTACCCATAAACAAATCATACAGTAAATGAATAAAGGCAAGATACACATAATTACCACCTGTCAATCACTTTTTCTGCGGGACTCGTAAATAGGCAGTGATCTGTGTCGTTATAATGGCGTCTGTAAAAAAGACGCACAACCAACAGGAACCAACCAACAGTATCTGAGGTGTTCGCTAAAATGACTAAGTACAAGTGAGTGAAAGATTGAAGCAGTCTACTGATCCTCTGACTGCCTGGACCCGCTGTCTCGAGCCCATGGCTGTGTGTGTGCGTCTGTGTCTGTGTGTGTGTGTGTCAGAGGTAGAGAGGAAGGAGGGCTGCTCAGAAATGCTACACGCCACTGTGGATGTCAAATCGTTGTCGTTCTAAAATGCCATTTAAAAACAAAGACAGTGTAAACAGGGCCTGAGTGTGTACTTTTCGCGAGCAGATTTGCAACGGGGGCGGGCGGAGGATCGCGATGCCGGTGTTGTTTATCGGACGAACCCTAATACGTACATAACAGAGCTTGCAAAACTGTTTTTTCGTCGACAACACGAACGTTGTCAACAGACCTCACTGGAAATCCAAAATGCTTCCACACTTCATTGAAAGAGGAGAGGGTTTAAGCTCTTTCGACGGGTCTCCTGTATCTGCAGTTTAACAAGCACTTCAACAAGCCTGTTTTTTCCCGCTTGGCAAGACAAGCTGACGTGACATGGGGGCAGCATGTGGCAGCATCGACGATTTTTTTTTTTTGATTCGATAATCGCAATTGAGCATAAATTTCGATCGATTTCGTTTTTCGATCGATTTTTGTTTTTAAAAATCGAAATCGTGACACCCCTACTAGCTACGGTAAGCAATGGATTAATCATTTGAGTTTCGTATCATTTGGCCTTGGCTGCTGTAGTTTTGTCTTATTTAAAGTATAATCAATGTTTGCATAAGGAGTTATGGCGATCAACATGTATCATTTCATCATATTCTACTCGAATGAAATGACTCTTTAAAAAGATTTATTCATTTTGTTGTTTAAAAAAAAAAAAAGTCTGTATATTCATCCAAACTTCAAATCGCTGTTGTCGAGGAAGAGTGGGCTGAGAAGCAGAATGTTTTAGTATCTGCCCAAAACGGATCATTTGCTGCTGAGTATAATAAATGATATATGAATAAAACTTCACAGACACATTCAGGTCACCTGAGACTTGTGTTACTTTCTGTTTAAAGGCTATAATCGAAATAACATTAACATTGCTTCAAGTTTATTATTCTCACTGGAAGATATATTCATGTTTGTTGCAGTATGTGAGCAGTATAAACATTCAGAGCACACTATACAAAAGACTGTATTCAGTGTACACTGCACTTGTGAATCATGCATAAAAAATCATACTGGGGACGTCTTGTAATTGGTATTGTATTAAGAATGCATACATTTTTATAAATGTGATACTATTAAGCTTTCTCAACTGTACTGAATACTGGAATACTTCATTCTATGTTATTTTGTCTAAATCTGTCAGTATTTAAGTGAAAAAGCATAGATTAATTTTGAGGTTTGCTAGAGCTGTGATTTTATAAATGTGATTTATCGCTGTTTTTCCCCCCAAATTATTATTCCATGGTCTGTTGAAAATCTTGACTCTGATTGGCTGGGTGGGTGTGCAATAAAATAATTGTACAGGTAGTTCCTGTCAGTTTTGACCACAGTTTAAAATCCATGTTTTTAGATGGAAGCGTCTTTGCATTAGAGCAGTTCCATGCAAATCATCACCTTGGAATAACAAGGTTTTATCTGCGTTCTGAATGATTTTGAGATATTGAGCTTCAAAGTTTTTGCATTCCATATAGCAAACATGTGTTTAATATTTGTTTTTCAAATAAAAAGTCTTAATGTAAACAACTTATAAAAAAAAAACATCCCACAATGTAAATAAGTTGTCATTTAATAAGAATATGTCAAAAACAAAATTTTGACAAAAATGTCAGATAGAACCTTATAATTCTAAGGTGATGAAATGTCAACCTTCCCATGGAAAAAAAAAAATTAGTTTTCGGCAAAATAGCGAAACCGTTTCTTTTTTTTCTTTTTTTTGCGCAGGCTTGTATTTCACAGTGCTTTAAAAATACTCAATGTCTCAGTCAATGTTTTCAATATTATATTTAATTTACAAAAGTCACACAAGTTGGAATTTTACATCCGTCACATCCATAACACAGAGAGGTGTCACATCCAACAAAAAATTTTCCTTGTAAATGCAAAAATGTAAAGTAAAGTAAAATAAAATAAAATAGTTTATTATTATTATTATTAATATTATTATTAATTTATAAAACAATCATATTTGTTCTATAGCGAGCCAACTCTTATCCTTTAGATTAGCATTATTTCTTTTGGGTTGTGTAGTTTAATTCACAGAATTTCTACAAAGTATGTTGTATACTGTGAACTTGCTAACTTTTTTCGTCACATCCATAACGCATGGTTATTTTCCTCATTTAAAATCTAAAAAATGGTAACAGATTGATATTTTTCTGCTCCCAAAACTCTGTGGTTATTTATTTTGGAAAGTATAAATGGATGTTTCAATATAATGATAACATATACTTCCTCTGTCAGTTTAGGTTTTGAGATTTCACAGCAAATGTCACACCCATAACGCTGCAATTGATCATTAACGGACGGCAATCTGTTTATAATATCTTACTCATAAACTTAAAGGTGCAATGCGCTTGTCAAGTCATGACTCATGACATATGAAATACTGTTTCCAGGTTCAAACCGCTACTCATTTGAATTGAGAAAATATTTGTTTATGAAGTCAATTTTATATAAATCATGGTGTACAAAACGGTCTCTGGACTTGCTGCTTCACAGACACCAATATTTTAACATTTTAACATTTTAATATTTTAAAATCTGATATATTGTGATATCTTATTTTTCTGCAATAAATATTGTGATATGAATACAGCTACAGAAGATGGTTTGAATGGCATTATTTGGCAGTTTTTAGAGCAGTCGAAAACTTACATACAGCACCTTTAAGAAAAATAGAAAAATGTGTGAATATCAGTCTTTAATTTGTATGTCTATGAATTGTCTGGTTTTGTGTTGACTGTGTGTATTACTGATTTGTTAATATTTGTTATGATTATAACTGATTTGTGGTTTTAATTATGGATTTAACATTGACTTTTGTGCTAATGTTAAACGTTCTGTAATTAAGTGTGCATGACATGATTTGGTCCAAGAAATTGTCCAGATGGCTTCTGATTGCGGTTTGGCAGTTACTATAATGTGCGTAGAGTTTGTGTGTTAACCGTGAGGTAGTGCTGTCAGGTCATGTTTATTGCTGTGTAAACGGTCCAGGTCTTAATCAGACCACAGAGTGAGATGAATACAGATGCAGCGCAATCGATACCACTGAAGACCAGAGAGAGTCATGGGAACAAGCATCTTGAACCAATGCACGATTAATAGAAATAAAGCCAAAATCCTGATGTGGCTTGGAGCGATTATCAAATTACAAAGGGTGCGGTTTAGTTAAATGAATTTATGCACCGAGTGAAGCACAGCACCGTGTTCTTACATGTGAACAGCTGATTATCTACTGGTGTTTGCAGCATTTTGGTTCACAGTGTTCAGATGCTGTTTTGTCCTCAAACTCTTTTTTGCATCTCATTTCTTACGTCGTTTTCGACAACAACCTGAACTTTTAATGCACTTGTGCCACTCATTTACACAACAGCAGAATTTTGGCCTTAAAAAGCCAAAGTTTCTGTTTCACATTGCAACTTTAAATTGATTAGTGCTTGTTGACTAAAATATCTTTTATTTTATTTATATACTTCCCACACCCAAAATGACAGTGGCGGAATATGGGAATCATAAATGTATTTACGTTTTTTATGTGTTGCTTTACAAAGTTGTATCGCTAACTACTGGTCTGGCATGAATAATACAGCATGTTATTCATTACTGTTTATCCTGAATCTGTTCATACTTTTTAAAAATCTCAAATTAATCCTTTTTTGGCACATTGTTTTTGCGTCTTTATTTGGATCATTTGAGCATGCATTTGGAAATGCAATATGCTCCACTATATTTCATAATGTAATAAGAAGCATATATCAAGAAATAAAAACGATTTAAAAATTAGCGAACAAAATTGCAATTCGAGAACAGTGGAAAAAACCCCAAATAAAAACAAAGTTTATATGTTTTCCACCTTTCATAATTATTTTAATAGTTGATCATGTCATTTTAGCATCCACACATCTGTTTTTTACCTAGCTTAAATCTAAATAAATCAGAGCAATCCTAATTTGTCAAAAACACCAATGCAGTAAACAGCAGCAAGACTGTGCAACAATGATCCTGTGGGCAAATAACTAACTGTATTAACACTCATGCGATCTTAGTGTTGTGGCAGAGCTGTGGTATTTTCATGTTGATTGTTATAAATGTATTAATGGATTAGTAAAATGTAACTACAGTATTTTGAGTCGTATCAGTTTTTGTGCTTTTGTACTTATACTAAATGTCATTAGGCTGCTGTTTTCCTATCATAGATAGCATAGAAATCATGTAGTTAGGCTATTCTAACTATTCATTTTCACGATGGTTTAGAGGTGCAAAGCATTTGTTATTACAATGTAATAGTTGTTGTTACCAATGTTACCAACACAGCAGAAGTCAGTATTTCATTTTAATTATTTAGCCTGACATGTAAAATATATAAAATGTTTCTTAAAATATAGTGTTTAAATGGAAAAAAAAGGTTTTTGTTTTTTACCCAGACTTTTGAAAAGAACATTTTTTAAAGCAGTAATCACAACACCATGAAAGTGTGATATTTTTTTTCAAGGTTATCATCAGAATCTTATATTGGTCCATGCTGCTGTCAAATGTGCATTTTTTTTCAACATTTGTTTGCAGTCAGCAATGTGGAAGTTGCTATTCTTTTTCTTTATTGTGATTTTTATATGGAAAAAAAGTAAAAGCTTATTGAAAATATTAGGGCTGGGCGGTATATCAAGTTCTGGGGATATATCGATATGATTCTACAACGTGATGAGTTATTATCCAATTTAATTCATATTGATATGGTTTGAGGCCACACATGCACATTCTGCACGAAACAGACCACTCCAAGGTAGCACACGAGCTCAACTTGCTAAATATGTGCACATGTGCAAATAAACGATTAACTCCTTGAGTCATACAAAAGATTTGCTCAAAATGAACGAATCGTTCAAGAACAACCAGTCACTACACGTGTCATAGAGGAACATGCAGTATACATGTGTGTGTATGTATATATATATATATATATATATATATATGTGTGTGTGTATGTATGTATGTATATGTGTGTATATGTGTGTGTGTGTGTGTGTGTGTGTGTGTGTGTGTGTGTGTGTGTGTGTGTGTGTGTGTGTGTGTGTGCATATATATATATATATATATATATATATATATATATATATATGTATATATATATATATACATATGTGTGTGTATGTGTGTGTATACACCAGGGGTCACCAACCCTGTATATATATATATATATATATATATATATATATATATATATATAAATATATGTATGTGTATATATATATATATATATATATATATATATATATATATGTATGTGTGTGTGTGTGTGTATTTATATATCTTGGTGTTAGCTACTCTTTCAAGAAATAACAATATAAAAATGATAATTATAAGAATTATAATAACAGCGAGGGAAACCCGTGTTCGAATTATATTTTAAAGGCTTTGACCCTCGAGTAACCATTTATGGGAAAATACTGGCTATATATTGTATACTGTCATTCCTCTTCATAGAGGTGTGAATTTATTTTTTTGTTTTTTTGCCAATATTCTCCAGCCCTACAATATATACACCGTTAAAATCAAAATGATTAATCCTCCTGCTGTTATCATTATTCATTTTCAAATATTTCCCAAATTATTGCTCAACATGTTTAACAGAGCAAGGGATTTTCCACTGCATTTCCTATAATCATTTTTCTTCTGAAGAAAGTTTTGTTTTTTTATTCCAGCAAAAAAAGTTTTTTTACAAATTTTTTTAAAACCAATTTAAGGTCAATATTATTAGCCCACTTCAGCAATTTTTTTTGATTGTTTACAGAACAAACCATCGTTATACAATAATTTGCCTTATTACTCTAACTTGCCTATCTAACTTAATTAACATAGGTCTTTACATTAACTTTTTAGATATACTATCTTGAGAAATATCTAGTAAAATATTGTACTGTCATCATGGCAAAGATAAAAGAAATCAGTTATTAGAAATTAATTATTGAAACTCATCTTTAGAATTCTGTTGAGAAAAATCTTCTTTTCCGTTATACAGAAGTTGGGAAAGAAATATAGTGGGGGGCTAATAACTCAAGAGGGCTAATGATTCTGACTTATTATATACTTATTATATTAGCCCCTAATAGTCACCCCACATTTGTGAATTCACACTTGAAAATGATATTTGCATGTGGTAGTTTATCAAAATAGGTTCAGGTTTAGACTTAAGAAATGTTTAATAAATATTATACTTTTTATGTTTTTGCAATAATCCTGGTGAAATTCCATGAAAATAAGTATCGTCTGGTTAGACTTCATAATGATGTTATGGGAAACCTGTAAATTGGTGCTGTATGTGTAATCAAAGATGTGAAGGACACAGAAGTCTGTGTTGTGGTTTTGGTAATATCTCAGTGGATGTATGTGGAGCGTGGAGATTAGCTGGCAAAGCCTCAAACTTAGATGAAGTGGAATTTTAATTGGAAACAGGGAAGACCGAGACCCTCCTAGATGACTGCTGTGCTGGTTTTTAGGTGAAAGGGGAGTCTGCAGACGAATGCCACCATCTGGTCTTGGGTTGAATTTCCTGAAGCCTTCTGCTCGAAAAACAAACTCCACCGTATGGAGTCTCATTCAACATCCTCAACAGAAATGCAGAGAGCACACGTGTGTTTTTGTGGTTAACTTCTCATGTTGAGCTGGCTTAAGTGGGACTTTATCTCTCTGTCTCTCTTTTTGTTTTGGGGTTTAGATTGACCTGCGGGATGACCCCAAGACTATCGCCAAGCTCAACGACGTGAAGGAGAAGCCCATTGTGACGGAACAAGGCCAAAAGCTAGCAAAGGAGGTGAGGGGAAAACGGATAGTTCCTCTTTCTCGAGTACAGCACGAAACTGAAAATGGACTGAGTGAAAACTCGAGATACGAGTCAAAAGGAAAGCGAAAAGAAAGTCACTTTGCTGTGAAGGAGCCCTGCTGTGAAACATGACAAAGATGATCAAATCGCTCTTCATTTTAAAGTATATAAGACTACACACCATCAATAGAATGATAATGGTACAATGGAAAATCATTTGGAATCATTTTGTTACCTCTACAGAAGTACAGTGATAAATGTTTATAGCTTGGAAATAAATACTAATGTCTTCTGTAGCAATCAAAGTAAATTGCCCAAAGTAACATTGCATTGGACATTATCATGTACCTGGTGCAATGTAAAGGTGCTAGTTTCAGCCTGGCGCAGGTATCATTTTCACGCCCTATGCCATGTGGTTTAAATAGCAAAAGCATTTGTACCCATTCGAGCGGCAATAGGTGTGTAAAGCAGGTGTCTTAAGGCACATTGTTGGCATGTGGCATAAAAATAGCGTACTGAACCGTACCGTACTGTACAATATACTAAAAATTTGTCATGTAAACAAACCTTGCACATGGAGCCTATTATGAAAAAAACAAAAACCATTTCTGAGTCAGTTCAAGCAGTGATGCTTGTTCTCTTCCCTCTTCTCCAAAGAAGAAAAAGAAAGAGGAATAAGCTACACGTTGTGATCATCCAATACTGCATAGAAATAAATGAGAGGGAATCAGTAGAATTTTAATATATATTGCTTGTGATACTTCACACATTCACATACGTAAACACATCCTGAACAGAGACCAGCAGTACCTATTCACCTTATTCTCCGCCGACGAGTGGGCGCTGCCATTTGAATCTTTTTGGCTTGAGACTTCTGGTCTCATTCACTTCCATTCATTTTTTGACGTTAAAAACTGCTCATTATGCTGCTTGATGCTGCAATTTGATATTTTCTTATTGTATTATTCTACTTGGTCTGTATAGTCATGCAAACATTTGTTTGTAGAGCAAGTAGTTTGACCGTTTTCTGCCGTTTATTATTCCTAGTCATTTCTCCCATAGGCGACTGAATCGGAAGTTCTAAGACAATCGCGAAAACAGCCGCACTTCCGCATTTTAGAATAAGGTCAATAAACTTTATAATAGATGGCGGCCGCGTTGGTGTGTCAAAGCAACAAACTGAAAGCGGACCACAAGGCGTCAAGCTTTCTATTAAATTTTCTTTGAGCAGTATGTCAAATGTATGGACACACATACACACACACCAAACAGCAGCAGTCCAGAGGTGCGACAGTCACTGAATCCAGCATAGGGGTCTGTCGCCACATTCTGTCTTTATTTTATGTGCTGTGCTTGTCATAATGTTTTATGGAGGTCAAATGACAGCATTCTGTATTTAGCTTTTTGTTTTACGGTGTTTCTGAACACCTCTCAAAGCTATTTTTCTGATGCGAAAAAAATCTAACCTAGTTTTTAATTTCTTTATGACCAACGAAAGTTTCGGAGGCAGTGTGTGAATGCGATTCACACAATTTGAGGTCGAAATTTATTCTTTTACGTGGGAATATTACAGATATAAATTTCCGATTCACTGTGCAACTAAGGTTTGACCCTATGAAATTCTGTCATGTAGGCTATGTCACTGCAAAAAGTGGTGGGATAAAATGACTGCTAGGCATTGATAAATTGCGATTGCTCCGTTTTTTAAAATTTCTGTACAGAAAGGTCATGTTTTTATCTTCTATTGGTCTTATGCAATGAGCTTGCATACGAGCTTGCATTTCTGCTCTACTGCATTTATATTCATATGAATGGAAGTCAATGGGCCGAAAAGTGCAGTATAACCACTGCTTTAATGAAAATGGAAGATGAGACTGGTTGCTTTAATGTATGTTATGCCCAAAACACATTTCCCATTGGAACCAATGTCTCACTAAAGGCATACTCACACTATGTACAGTTGCCTTGAACCGTGCCGTTGCACGTTTGTCAACCTCCCCTCTGCCTCGACGGCCTGAACTCGCATTGCATCTGAGCCGGCACACGCTCACATCATCAATAATGCCCTGTTCAGTTTAACAGAAGCGCTCTCGCTTAGCACAGTGGGGATTTCTTAGGTTATACCATTTAAGTCGTTTGATATGCAGTCAAATATTTTGCTGAACAAATCAGCCACTTTTGACGCTCATAAACAATCATAAAAGTCATCGTGCTTAGGAGGTTTGCTGAATGTGCAGTGAGGGGTTTGTGTCTTTATTAAACCATGACAGTTTGTGTTCATTAAAAAGTAAGAATGATTAATAAACACACATGAAACAGTCCCTTAAAAATCACGTCTCGTCTTCAGGTTTGGGCTCAGCTGCGCTTTGCACTCACACTAAAAGCCTACTGCGCTAAAGCCAAAGTTAACCGCGCTCTGGTACACCTCTTCCAACCAGGCCAGGGCCGGCCAACTGAACTGTGCCTGTGCCCAATTCAGAGTCCTCACACTTCTCACTTCACACTTTGCATTCTTTGGATAGCATAGGGTGAGTGCGCCCTAAGAGAATAAGAACAACCATTTTAAAACATGCGCTGGGCTCAAAGGCCTGTATCCTATCTGTAAAACCGTAAAAATGGATTCAGATACACACTAAGGGCCCTATCATACACCCGGCGCAATGTGGCGCAAGGTGCGGCGCAATACTTGTTTGCTAGTTTCAGCTTGGCGCAAGAGTCGTTTTGAGGCGTTGCGCTACGCACTTTAAATAGCAAATGCATTTGCTGTCATATGTGCGCCCATAGGTGTTCTAATCTAAAAAGGAAGGCGTTCTGAGGTGCACTGCTGGCGCGTTGCTATTTTGAGAATCTATAATAGTTTTTTTATTAGACCAAAACAAACCCGGTCTAAACTCCAGCACAGAGTTGTGCCTCGCTGCTTAATAGCCTACACACAACATGTAGAGCAATATGCAAATATCTTTACATATGAAAAAATTTAAATATTAAGGATAGGCCTATATATAGCATATAATAAGAATATATATATAGGATATAAATATAAAGGATTAAAATATTACAAAACACACTTCGTTATTATTGTTCATTTATTCGTTTGCTGGAAATTAGAACTGAATTTAGAAATAGTTTTGAAACAAATATTTGCGCTTAACAAACAAAATAAATTATTTACAGGCTAATTGATGTCTGTGCTTAAAGGTTTCCCTATCCAAGAGCGAAAGTTAAAGTAGATAGATTATCTCTCATTCTTGCGCGGTAGATGCTATGTTTAACTGTTTTCTGTTAAAAAAAAACAAAGAAAAAAACTGTTAACTGTTTGCTTGTGAAATGCTCAGTTTTTCCACTTCCACTTACTTTACGTCCTGTAAATAGCAAATGCGCTTATGGCGCGACGCAGCTGGCTCTTAAAGCGAATGGGAGATGAGACGCTGATTGGTTTATTGTCAAAACACACCTATAACTCATTCAGAAAATAAACTCAACTCTTTTAGACCATGCGCCACGGCGCAAAGCAGATTTTCCTGTCCTTAAATTAGCAAATATGGATTCTGACACGCCCTGAAAGCGTTTGCGCCCTGCGCTTTGCGCATGGACCGTCAAAATAGAGCCCTAAGAGTTCAACCTAAACTAATGCTGGTACTCATTGACTTCCATAGTATTTTTTTTTCCTGCTATTGAAGTTGATCAGTGCCGGCGACTAGGATTCATCAAAAAATCTAATTTTATGTTCAACAGTTGAAGGAAACTCAAAATGTTTTAAAACCGTTATACAAACATAACATACAGTTATTGTAAAGTAGATGTCTGAAAATGTTTTCTCTGTCTTTTCCAGATTGGTGCCTGCTGCTATGTTGAATGCTCAGCACTAACACAGAAGGGCCTGAAGACTGTGTTTGATGAGGCCATTATAGCCATTCTGGCTCCTAAGAAAGGCGCACTGAAGCGAAGACTAGGCCCGCGCTGCATTAACTGCTGCCTCATCACATGAACCACCAGCTCAGGTGAATGAAAACAAGAACTGACGGTGACCAAACAGCAACTAACCAGATCACACTCTGACTTCTGAATGAACACAGTCACCTACAAATGAAATACCAACAATGGGGGAGTGCAGTCCAAGTTATGGACACATGACAAGACAAAAAAAAAACTTTCATCAGGGAGAAAAGATACTACATATTAAGATTAAAAAAGTAAATGACTTCTTGAACACACAAGCACAGAGATGTCTGAGACGCCCTTTTGAATGACTAAGAATAAATCAAACTGTATGTTTGTGTCTCTTTTTGAGAGATGAAACCCAGACAAGCCTAAACAGCACAACCAAACACGGCCATTTTTACAGAAGTAGGACTTTATTTAACTTCCAAAAAAAAAAGGGAAACTCAGCATCTCAAATTAGGTTGCAAAACAGTTGCTTTTTACAAAACATCTTCATTTACTAGCAGGATGAGAGGAATGATCAAATAAATATACTGCCATTACGAGCAGACAACAAACTATCTGTTCTACAAAAAGACAACACTTTTTTTTATTGGTGTAAATGTGAGTCATTTCTTTGATTCGGAGCCCGTACGGTCATTTTTTGACTTTCGTCTGGATCTCTTTCTTTGGGTTCCTGATGGCCTGTACTTCTTTTACTCACTTAAGCTTGTATGTGAGTTGTTTGCGATGCCAATGGATCCAGACGGGGGCGGCGAGGAGGCCGGTCAGAAATCCAATGGTTGCCCCAAGGGTACAAGAAATGGGCCAAACCTGGACAAAAACAAAGAGAACTGTTTGCAGGAGCACAAGCAACTGACTGCAAATTCTACAGCATCACTGTGGTGTTTTACCAACCAAATTTTGTATCCAAGACTGCTTTCTTGCTTCTTATTTTGTATGTAGAGTTTTGAGTGTCGCGTGTGTATCAGTGGCCTTGCCTCTCAGGTGTGTGCCGACTGCTTTGCATTTCAACTTTTTTGCTTCATATGATCAAGGTGATTTCAAACGTCAATTGATTTTTAGTTTATTATTATTATTATGAATTTCTTGCAGGCCATGCAAATGTGTGGAGTGGTCCAAGTGGTCTTTAAAGCTTCCAGCAAATTGTGAGCAGCAACAACAACAAAAAAACATTTATAAATAGCAGATATATGGAATGCAAATCTAAAAGTCAATCGGCACAATGGTTTTTAATGAAACAACGTAATTGAAGATGACTTTCTGTTGATGCCCAGCGCTCAGTGGATATATAAAATGTAATGTAATGACTTGCTTCAAAATATTTACTGACTATAAAAGGTTTTTTTTTCTAATTTTGTGTCTTTTCAGTCTTGTGTCTTCATTTTGATTTTAATATCTTATTTCACCATTACACAAAAAATTACACCGTTATAGTGCTATATGAAAAGTTTGGATTTTGGACTTCTCGAGAACAGATTAACTTGCATGCAAGGTAAAAAAAAAAAACTACTAAAACTGGCAAAATTGCTATCTTAATAATTGTTTTTTTTATACTGAACGAAAACAATCTAAATTTCGGTATAAGTTGCTAATGCTTCATGGTTTAAAATAGTACCCCAACAATGACTGAAGCCACAAAAATTAGAGGGTCCATTAAATGGCATAATATTTTTGGGTGATAAATTTTCAGTGGCTGTAAATTTGGTTCGTCTGTAATATCGACACACTTTTAGATTCCCATTGTTGCACATTTCTGCTGTGGGATTGGCTCTAAGATCAAAGTCTAGAGCTTATCATTGGTATTGACATCAATTTCATTGTGATTCAATATAATATAATTTATCGGCCTAGTCCTACTTTTAATATGCATTTATTTTTACCTTAATTACTCAAAAGTGTTGCTGAACGAAACATATTTCCAAACCCCTTCTTTATATGATGCTAATTTGCAGTGATTGGTCCAGTGACTTAAGTTGCATCCCAAATGGCACACTATACACTTATGCCCTTACACACTCAACAGCATAGTATATGTATGTAGTGTCATCCCAAATGTAACACTTTTTTTTTTTTTTTACTAAGCAGAAATTCAAACCGTTTCCCAGATGAAGTTTGACAGTTGCCAAATAGGCGAATTAAATTACTAAACTACCAAATAATACCTGCCATGAGTATAACCGCGTTCACCATCAGGAGGCGCTATAATCACTCTAGTAGGAGAATTTAGCTTTTACAATCCAAAATAAATAGTCCAACATCAGCACCTGAAAGCTCCGCCCTTTCCACTACGTGTGCAAAGCAGCGGCTGTTGAGTGCGTGAAGTGTCCAACGTTCCCACTTCATTTTACCTGTTAACTAAATGCACAAGTTGGGTATTTAATTTATACAACAAAGATGCGTAGAATAGTGGATAAGTATGCCATTTGGGATACCCCTCTAGTCTTTTTTGTTTGGTGCAGTAGCACTGGAAAGAGAACACCCATCACAATTACTAGATTACGGATTATCAAGACTTTATACAGTGAATGAACAGACAACATGACTTTAATTTGACCTTTTCAAGTCAAGCCAGAGTCAGCATTCCTCAATTAAATATACAACAATGCTGATGACACTTCCTTCAATAACACTGGCCTGTGAATCCTGCATTGTATGCATTTATGTTGCTGTACTGTGGCAGTCATCTGTAAAGCGACAGGGACGCAATGTACGGTTGGGGCTTCCCTGATGTGGTGTTGCTGTAAAAATGAAACCCTTAACCATTGTCTATTCACAAGCTTGTCATTTGGCAGAAAAACAAGTGGATTCTCCCTTACCGCGTAGAGCACATCGTCTTTGCATCATGATGTGATCAGTGTCTGTGTGTACAAGTCTGCTAATGTTCAGGCTCAGGAGTCATTTCGAATAAAAAATGTTTTAATGACTCGAGGACAAGATTTCGTTTTGAGAGACGATAACCTTTTACATGGTGCACTTTCACATTTAAAACTTTGCAGGATGTTTTCATTCACTTGGTTCTGTTAAACATTGCATAAACAGTAAAAGTGTTGTGCTCATGTGGCCCAATCTACTTAAGTTTGTTTGCTTGTTTAGTATCTTAAGTTACATGGTGCTCACCTAATTTCATGAAGTTTTAAGTTTTAATTTAATTATTGATTGTTTTTTTGTATAGATTTTTAAAGTGATCTTGCTGTAGCCATCTAAAGGATGAAGGTCAATATTTTAAAATGATATATTTTGATCTAGAGAGGCAAGAGAACTGCACTGCCATGCTTTTACTGAGCTTGAACAAAAGAACCTAGGACTAGTTCACAAAAGTTAAAAAGGACCAGCAAGTTTCAATCCGATTAACTTCTGTTAACTACATCTAATAATGCTCAAATTTCAGACCGTGTAGTTTGATCAGTTTGTTTTACAGTGTCACCAACTGGACAGGCATGCCCTTATGACCACAAATTAAACGAAGACAAAGTTCTCATCCTATTCAAGAGTTTAAAAAGTGGCCCCAACAATTTTGCATGTCCTACGTCCTGTTGCAAAAGTCAATGGACTTCTATTACTTTTTTCATGACAATCAGAATCCATTTGGTTCAAATCGGGTGAAAAAAAAAATAGTTTCCAAAATTTTGTTGTTCTGTCCATCAATTTAGAGATGTGTGTCTTGTGCTATAGATCCCAATAATATGACATTTGAGTCTGTAGCTGGATTTCCGTCAGCCTGTGTTAATGCACATTTTGAAGTATAGCAACAGAAACGAGTGATGGAAACGGCAAATTTTAAGAAAAAAAAATGTCTTAAACCGCAACATATTTTTACTCTTCCTTGAGGTAGTTGTGGTGCAAATAGTGGAAGATTATTTAATGCATTTGCTGGATAAACTCTGATGTAGTGTCTGTTACACCCATGTGTAATCAGCTGTCTTCCTATTGTTTACTGTTAAGGTTACCAGTATTGGTTAGACATTCTAACAACTTGATTCAAAGAAGCAACAAACATTTTTTTTCAGTGTATTCAAAATACATATTTAAAACAAGCTTTTTTGGGGACAACCTAATTGTTAAGTCAACTGAACATAAAACAATTAAGTTGACTCAGTTTGTGTAGGGACAACGTGAAGGAATAGCGTGGAACCCAGCATTTGTTCTCAGTGAAATGTGTCTAATTTGCATTTAGGATTTTTTTTATTTTATTTCTTTGCAAACTTTGAACAGATTAACTTCTTATTAGGATGGAAACCCAGCTTGTGACAAGTGGCTTATGGTAAACCTTAGTAAAGTTGTAGAAAGGGTTGGCACTGCCATTTCACAACAGCAAGTGGTTTGGATTGGTCACTTTTATGACAAATACATATAAACCATTTCAACGTGGTGATGTCATTGGCCCAAAAACATTTCCTGCTTGTTATCAAACTATTTCATAACTGTAAGAAGAGGCAATTCAATCATAACTTAATGTTAAAACAGCTATCATGACATTATTTTGTGTTTGTTTACATGCTTCAAAATGGTCTATTAGCTAAATTTTCATTATTGCTCTAGTCTTGTTACATGATTGTATGCAGAAACTATTCTGCAATGCAGTTTCAGAGATTACATTTTTGCTATTCTTTAATGTTTAGAACGTTCAAACGGATTTATTTTAAATAGAATCAGATTTTGACAAATTTTATGCTAAAAAAAAATATCTGGCAACCCTGTCTACTTTTTTCATTTCCAACTAAATTCCTTTCATACTTGTTCACTAAATGACTGAAGATTTGCAGAGCGACTCGGAATGACAAAATGTCTGCAAGATTGATAATTCAGTTATTTCTAGAGCTTGACAAGGGTTGCGCTACAGTGTCATAACAGTGAGCAGGATCGAGTCACGCTGTTCTTCCCTTCTCTAAAGGACAGCATCTGGATTGAGAAAAGCCCTGAGATTCTCATTAGTTCACACTCTTATCATCCCATGTTGAGGAATCACTGTACGGCAAGCTCACTTTCCTTCTATAATGAGGCAGTCGTCTCTTTCTCTCATGTCTAGACATCTGTGTGTCAGAAAACACACATGGGAGACTTCAGCGTGACATTTTGAGGGCAAAACGAGGGCAAACACCGGCCTCTGATCAATGTCTATGTACAACACATGAATAATTGAAGGAGCAGCGCAGTCCTTCTATGCTTTGAGAACATTGAATTTTTCATGAAGATGCTTCATTCCCCACAAAACACATCCATGACTGTCCAGAACTATTTATTGAGTGTATTTCATCTTAAATGACTCTCATAGTTAACTACACAGCGTTTGTTTGTTTGTTTTTGTAATCTAACAATGATAATGCACTGCTCGCATACATGTGCTTTAAAATGGACACTGCCAAAAGTCCAAAGATTTCATTCATTCATTCATTTTCTTTTTGGCTTAGTCCATTTATTAATCCGGGGTCGCCAAAGCAGAATAAACTGCCAACTTATCCAGCACATGTTTTACGCAGCGGATGCCCTTCCAGCTACAACCCATCACTGGCAAACATACACTCATTCACGCACATACACTACGGACAGTTTAGCTCATCCAATTCACCTATACCATGTTTTTGGAAAACTGGAGCACCCAGAGGAAACCCTCACGACACTGGGAGAATGTGCAAACTCCACACAGAAATGCCAACTGACCCAGCCGAGGCTCAAACCAGCAATCCTCTTGCTGTAAAGGGATTGTGCTACCCACTGCGCCACCGTGCTGCCCTCTTTTAGATGTAATATCCTTTTAAAATGCTTTTTAAAACTGTAGACTTGTTGGTCAAAAAATAAAAGCTTCCGCATAAAGAGAAATAAAAAAGCCAAGTTAACAAAACCAAAACATTTACACAAAGTAAAACAAACAAAAAATGATCTGGCATGTTCCTTGTTTCTGAGGTTGGATGCAGCACAGAGCTGGAGGTTTAAAACAAGGAAGCCTTGACTAAAATTCTGATGCCTTGGCAGAAATCAGCACAATTATGTAATAAAACGCTCTCATTAAGAGACACAGTTTTAGAGGCTTTCTCTGCTCTATTAAGGAGTTATATTTGCCCACTGAGATTTAAAGAAGTAATGCAAAAACGCACACTGTAAGAACAAAAGCTGCAAAATTGAGCTCTTATATTGTTTGAGCATTTTAAGGTTTGTGATCAGATCATTTGCGAGTGTACAGAATTCTGTGCTAGAAAAAGAAAACCTCTGGCTTTTCAGTGGGGAATAATCTAAACATCTCTCTTTGGCTACTGAATTCATAAGCTTGACAGAAAGATTAGTTATATGTCCTGCAAATAATTTAAATAAATAAAATAAAAAACACCTGATGCTTTGAGTGAAATGACAATTTATTTAATTTATTCATTTGACTTTAATCTTTACAGCCTTGATAGTTGAGTGTAACCGTGCAGTAGTGCTGTTTAACAATTCACATACAAAACCCATTTTTTATTTAAATAGTGCGTGTACATACAACATATATAAGGATAAAAACATCCTAAATATATTTTGCCAGCTATAATTTGCCCCAAGATACTGCTTATTTCAGAGTCTGATATACACTCATCGGCCGCTTTATTAGGTACACTTGCCAACTGCTCGTTAACGCAAATTTCTAATTAGTCAATCACATGGCAGCAACTCGATGCATTTAAGCATGCAGACATGGTCAAGATGATCTGTTGCAGTTCAAAGCGAGCATCAGAATGGGGAAGAAAGATGATTTAAGTGACTGAGTGTGGCATGGTTGTTGGTGGATTGAGTATTTCAGAAACTGCTGATCTACTGGGATTTTTACACACAACCATGTCTAGGGTTTACAGAGAATTGTCTGAAAAAGAGAAAATATCCAGTGTGCAGGAGTTCTGTGGGCGCAAATGGCAGAGGTCAGAGGAGAATGACCAGACTGGTTCCAGCTCACAGAAAGGCAACAGTAACTTAAGTACGGTAATTACTTGTTACAACTGAGGTATGCAGAAGAGCATCTCTGAACGCACAACACGGCTAAGCTTGAGGCAGATGGGATATAGCAACAGAAGCCATTTCTGTCAGCTAAGAACAGGAAACTGATGCTACAATTCACAAAGGCTCACCAAAACTGGACAATAGAAGATTGGAAAAATGTTGCCTGACCTGATGAGTCTTGATTTCTGCTGCAACGTTCGAAAGGTAGGGTCAGGATTTGGCTTCAACTACATGAAATCATGGATTGGGCCCGCAAGTACCAATTGACCATCGTGTCAACGCTACAACCTTTCTGAGTATTGTTGCAGACTATGTCCATTGCTTTATGACCACAGTGTACGCATCTTCTGATGGCTACTTCCAGCAGGATAATGCGCCATGTCATAAACGATAGCGTGAATCATCTCAGACTGGTTTTTTGAACATGACAATGAGTTCACTGTACTCAAATGGCCTCCACAGTCACCAGATCTCAATATAATTATAGAGTACCTTTGGGATGTGGTGGGACAGTAGATTTGCATCATGGATGTGCAGCCGATAAATCTGCAGCAACTGCGTGAGGCTATCATGTCAATATGGACTAAAATCTGATTAATATTTCCAGTAGGTTACCTTGTTGAATCTATGCCATGAGGATTACGGCAGTTCTGAAGGCAAAAGGAGGTCCAGTGCGGTACTAGGTACAAGGTGTACCTAATAAAGTGGCTGGTGAGTGTATAATATGTGTTTAATATAATAATATATACACCTTATGTACATTTTTGCCAGCTTATCTTATAATTCATCATAATTTTCGGCCCCAAATCACTGCTTACTTCAGAGTCTGATATAGATATAATGAAGAGATGCAAAATCATTCAAAGATGTTTTTTTTAGACGTGACCCAAACCTGCATCACATTTGTATTATTGTAACAGAATTGTGACACTGACCTGCCAGGGTCTGTCCCAGTCAAGAGGAATAGGGAAAGCTCCTAGCCAGGCCCCAATAACACTACAGCCGGTGGTGATCTGAAGAGAGGTGTCCCACACTGACATCGCCCTAATAATCATAATAATACACAACACTGACAAATGAAAACAAATAAAAGCACATGCAATGCTCTTGAATGGAAAAAGACTAAGCAAAAACATTTATATAAACAATGCTTACTACTAAGGCTGCACAATATACTGATTCAGCAACAATATCACAATGTGATCATTCGCAATAGTCACATCGCAGGATAGGCAATGTTGAGTTTGTATTATAATTAATCATTTGCATGTGTTTTTGCCTGTGATTGTAAAATGGTTTTAAAAACATTCAGGTATAAGAAATTGTACAATTTGTATCTGTGATTAATTTTATTGAATTATTTTTATTTTTATCATTCAGTTACTGCACTTGAATGCTGTTAGACTTAGAAAACTATAAAACACTTTATTTCAATTGCATATTTTTCTTTGCTGTATTTAGATGTCAGTTATGTAAGGAAGTACTCACAATGCATGCAAATACAGAAATGCTCCGCAAATAGCACAAACAACAACGCAAATGTGTCTGAGGACCCCAAAAAGTTTATAGATTGTTTATTAGATTTTATGCAGATGCACTCCCACTGCAGAATCATCCCAATCAATCTAACATTTTAAATTCTTTCCAAAGAGATTCATCTGGTGAAATTGTATTCATATTACAATATATGTACATTATATATATATAAATATATATATACAAACTCATATATATATATCTATATATCTTTTTATATATATATATATATATATATATATATATATATATATATATATATATATATATATGTGTGTGTGTGTGTGTGTGTGTGTGTGTGTGTATATATATATATATATATATATATATATATATATATATATATATATATATATATAAAACAATATCGCAATTGGATTTTTTTCAATATCATGAAGCCCTACTATCTAAACATCTAAACACACATATACAGTTGAAGTCATAATTATTAACCCCCCTGAATTATTAGACCTCCTGTTTATTTTTCCCCAATTTCTGTTTAATGGAGAGATTTTTAACACATTTCTAAACATAATAGTTTAATAACTAATTCCTAATAACTGATTTTTTTTATCTTTGTCATGAAGACACTGCTGTCTAAACAATGTCACAATGTCACTAAATATTTTCAGAACACTTCTATACAGCTTAAAGTGACATTTAAAGGCTTACCTAGGTTAATTAGGTGAACTAGGCAGGATAGGGTAATTAGGCAAGTTATTGTACAACAATGGTTTGTTCTGTAGACTATCGGAAAAAAATAGCTTAAAGGGGCAACTAATTTTGATCTTAAAATGGCTTTTAAAAAGTTAAGAACTGCTTTTATTCTGGATGAAGTAAAACTTCAAAAATATTATCAGATATACTGTGAAAATGTTCTTGCTCTGTTAAACATCATTTGGAAAATATTTAAAAATAAAAAAAAATTCAAAAGGGGGCTAATAATTCTGACTTCATCTGTATATGTATGTGTAAGAAGATAAAAAGCATTGCTTATATACACACTACTGTTTAAAAGTTTCAGTAAAGTTTTTATTTCACTTTGAAGCAAAGTAATACTTTCATTAAAGTCGAGGGCAAATAAATAAAGAACTTAATTAACAAAATAAAAAGACCACTTCAAAGGTATGACTTGTTCTTGAATTTCATCATCAAGAGTGTTTATTTGCAAATAAACATTTAAATATTCAGATTAAAATATTCTGCAATAAATAAATAAATAAATAAATAAATATATATATATATATATATATATATATATATATATATATATATATAAAGTGGTCATTTTTTGCAGCCCTGTATAAAATAAAAAAGGTAGCTTAGTTTGAGCAAAAAGTACAACTTTTCTCGTGTTTTCAACACTAATAAGCAGCACATTAACATGATTTCTCAAGACAAGTAATGATGCAGAAAATCCACAGAATTACAGGAATAGTTTATGTACTTTATGATCATTTAAAAAACTATTTTAAAAAATCATGTTTTAAATATATTTTTATAAAACTAACTCAAAACTACTGAACAATTGTGTATACAATATTTTAAAAAAAGTGCTGTACATGTTGTCAAATATGAGTTTTTGGCTGTTCTAAAGTGCATGTAGGACACAAGTGAACTCTGAATGTTCATTAAAAACAGACTGCATATTTACATCTGAGAGACAAATTTCCTGCAGTGCTTACGCAGAGATACCGCAGCTGTATAAACACACAGTATCTCAGACTATCACACCGCTGAACCAAACTGCAAACACTCTGTGGTCTTGTTTCAGTTTGCCTGATACAAAATTCTTAATAATGAATACAAGATGAGACATCACAATGAGAGAAGTTTTTGCAGTTTTACTGAAATAAAAATTGAGAAAACAGGAAAGGAATAGACTCAACTCCTGTGATGGAAAATGAAAAAAATTCTTCTAAGAGCATTAAACCACACTCAAGACTCAAAATAGCGGATCAAAATGAAGATTGGCCCACTGAAACTTCTATTTTAACATGTATTCAAAATGTAGTTAAGGCTGTCACCCTTCAATAAATGTCTTAAATTTTTAACCTTTTGCACACAATCGTCAAACTTGGTCTAGGTCTCCATCTAGTGGATGTGGGCAATGACCCAATGGGCATGAAAACTTGAAAATGGGTGGATTTTTACACTTACCCAAAAAAAAAATCTAATTTGCAAGGTTCTGAGTTGTGAATCATATTTGGATAAACTATGACAGTGGTAAATGGAAAGTACAACACGTATAATATTTATATTCCCATTTATCCTAATACCAGAATTTCTTAATGAGTTTTTGTAGGGATATTTTACAGTTTGAACCCAAAAATGAGCAGTCTGTCAGATGAAGAACAGCTGGAGTCAGAGATTCAAATAAATAAAGTTTACTGAGGGTATTTTCATCAGCAGAAGCCAGCTTCAACACTCGCAATAACTTCGTAGGCTGCTCTGCTTACAATCTCAGAAACATCAACAATACTCTTACACAACATCATTAACTACATCAAACATATAAGTGCTTCAACCTGATTGTACGCAGAGCGGCCTACAAACTCATTGCGAGTGTTGAAGCTGGCTTCTGGTGATGAAACTGCAAACTATCTTCAGTGGACTTAAAAATATATAGACTAGAGATTGATGGCATTCATCACAAAACAAAAAAGGCAGTCAAATACCGACTCAGCAATTGTTATTTAACAAGTACACTCTTACAATATACATTAATGTTTATAACTTTGGAAAACAGTAATCCACCAAAGTATCAGCAGAGATATTTTGGCCAATATTTGATCAGTTTGTAGAATAAAAAAGCCAGATTAAATAAATAAATACATGAAAGTCAAGATCCAACATTTTTCCTTGGGTTGTTTTGAAATGCACAAATGCCCTACTCTGGCTACATAAACAACTACTTTTTATTATAATCTTATATAAAAACTGCCAAATATTAACTTATTGTTGAAATGTTCTGTGAAATCACATTTTTTGACTTCACACACACTGATTTTTGGGAAATCCAAACTTTTGCTTGTGTAATAATAGTTATTTATATTAGATTTTACAAAGGTAAAAAACAAAAAACCCACACAGTGCTCATTTTTGCTTTCAGAACTTATTATCAGGCTATTTTAATAGGTTTAATGCCAGAATTAATTATTTTCTCTCAAAAATGTGTTTTTCTTTGTGTTTTTTTTTTTCAAAAGGTGAGTGACAATGTCAGCTCAGGCATTTTTAAAGCAAGTATAATTTAATCTTTGGCAAAAAAAAAACAGCATGCACTCTTGACAAATTATGACAGCAAGAAGTATTATAAGAACTCAATAAAGAAAACAAGGTTTAATTGCAATTGCACCAAAAATCATGTAGCAATACTTTTTTAACCTTAAATACCTCAATTGCACTATATATTGCACAATATTATACTGTATTATGTAAAGTACTTGTATAGTTCATTTTAGATTGTGTTTAGTTAACTATTTATAGTATATAGCTTTATTTTTGAAGTAGGTTTACAATTTATATTACAGGTTTAATGTTAAAATGATGTATTATTTACATTATTTACAATTTAAATTTATATTTTTGGTTACATTTAGTGTTGTGAACATATTTATGTTTCAATTTGTTCCACACACACACACACACACACACACACACACACACACAAATAATCCATACATGTAGTAGAATGACAAGCTCAACTTGAAACTGAATTGAATGAATCAATGAACAAATCAATCCAAGTGAAAACACCTTATAGTCTATGAAAAAGTCCATAATACCTGAAATCAAGAATTCAACATGTTAATGTATAAAACTGATCTAGAATTTACCCGTCTCTGCTGAAAACCCGTATCCACGCCTGTACATTCGGGCCCAGAATGCAGAGACATCTCAGTGTAGTGAGTGTGGACAGCAACACGGCCAGAGAAAACGTTTCCAGTGCAGACCTGCAGCAATATACATGTTTTATTCAAGCTGTATTTTACATCCTTTGGACAAATAAAACACAAATATAAACTCACTCAAGTAGAGGAGCTCCATATAGTACTACCACGGTATGAAAAAATAGGCATGACAGCAGAAAGTACAGACAGGATCTGAAAAATCTGCTGATCTGTGAAAGACAGAATGATTATTACACATTTATAAGGTTCATCCATTGAAGAATGTGAAAGCTGTCAATACCTTGTAGCTTAGTGTGTTCTTCTTTGTTGGCGGGCTGATGCCTAGAAGCCAAAAGACTGCGATGTTGACTACAGTAATGGATCCAGCCACGCAATACAGCCAAACCATGTGCGTCCCGTAGACGGAAAATTTATTCACCAATGCAGCAGGCATCACAGTTGCCATAAAGATAGAGGAGGCGATAATGGCATGAGCCGACGCCATGCCCCTGATCTCAACATCCCACATTATGGAGGACCAATAAAGGTAGCTGTACAACAGGTACAACGAGAGTTAATCAATGAAAATAATACATACATGCAAAAATATAACATGATAATAATAATTAATTATTTTAAAGATACCAAAAACAAAAAACCTGTTAATTTAAAAAAAAGGTCAAATAAAGGACAAAATAGACCAAACATTCCTTACAAAAATCAATGTAACCATATTGTAATTATATTTTCATAACCATATTGGTTATCTTTTGTATAACGTCACTACAATTTTAATACAAAAACCATAGTTGAAATATGCAGTGTAGTAAAACCATGGTAACAACTGTTTAACTACATTAACTATGTTTCTTTATAATTTGTAGTAAAGGGGTAATAGAAAGGCATGCAAAATTATCAACGTTTCCAGTATAAAAGCAAGATATAATGCTGCACACAAAAAAACTAAGTGAATAAAATAAATTGAATGAAACTTACTTCCGAGTAACGTTAAAGGCTAACCAATGGAGTATTGTATTTGAACTTCCAAAATTAACATTACACCACAGGTTCTTCCAACACCTTAACAACTTGATCAAATTCTAGTTACATCTTTCCTCGACCGAAAACCAACATTACAAATAAAGGCAAACAGTGAAAATCTGTTTATTTCCAATACACGACTACCATGTACTTCCGGCAGAATGAAGCCAGCAACAATCGACAAAATTAAATTTCCTTCAAATTGCAATAACTTGAACAAAACGAATTATTGTTATTATTGTTATTATTATTGATAAAACTATGAAACAATAATATCTGATTTACACACATTTGCCTTGCTTTACCTACAGACAATAAAACTATGTTTTTACGGGACTCTTATTTTGATAACGCATCGCAATACGTCACTGACAGCGGAGTGTTTATTGATTCTCCTAGCTTCATTTTTACCTCCACCGAGAATTATTTTGACGTGTTGTCTACGATTTTGTGACATTTCAAGATGGTTTGCGAAAAGTGTAAGTAACTACATTTTAAATTATTCGATAAATGAAAGGGTTAACGTGTTTGTTTTACAGACATAAGTCTGATTCGTTAACTTATAGCATTGTAATTTCGTATGTAATTTAGTAAGGTTAGCTTAGAGTCGCTAGCAAAGATAACAGTAACCAGCGGCTTTTGTTGTTTATCCCGGCTATGAAAATAATGCTTAATGAGTGACATAAGGTTAGAAAGAAATATGCGGACTTTATGTGTTATGTATGTTTTGTTTGCGCAGGCGAGAAGAAACTGGGGCGAGTCATCACGCCTGATACATGGAAAGATGGAGCTAGAAACACAACAGGTAATTTAACACGTTTTGACCTTAAGATAAAAATAAAATGTTATGTTTTTGTTCCATGTATACATTTGTGTTCATGTCAAGGCTGAATATTAATTTTTAAAAACTGTTATATTACAGAGAGTGGTGGTCGCAAGCTGAATGAAAACAAAATGCTGACATCTAAAAAAGCAAGGTGGGTGTTGCTTATTGGCTACTGTTAGATAATAGTCTGATAAAGCAGTTAAATGTTGATTGAATGAAAATGTAATGTATGTCAATGCGCACTGAAATGTGTAACGTACTTTTTCACTCAGGTTTGATCCGTATGGGAAATCAGGATTTGCCACTTGCAGAATATGCAAAAGCTCAGTCCATCAGTCCGGTTCACACTACTGCCAGGGATGTGCTTACAAAAAAGGTATGATGAATAGTGAGTCGATGCTTCAGTTTTCTTCTGTAATTTAAAGCTTGTGTAATTCGGTTAGGTCACTTGGTTCTAACCAAAAAAAAAAGGAAGAAAATAATATATTTAACTCAGGTTCACCAAACCTAAATATGCACGCAAAAGAAACTACTTATCATAAAACAATTGTTACAACTTACTGCGCATAAACACACTTGTTGTATGTGTGTATCAGTTTAGAACTCATGATGAGTTTTTACAGTGTGTAAATGAGTCAAAACAAAAGCAGAAATTCATCCATCCCACCCATAATGATCTACTGCAAGGAGGTACTTTTCTAATGTTTGTAGTAATGCTGTGTCTTGATTTTGGTTTGTATAGATGTCTTTTGTCTGTCTTCTGTCTTTTAAACTGGGTTTAAAAGCATAGCAACCCAAAATTTTTAATTCTTTTATTATTTAGTTTCCTGCATGTGCTTTTGAGTTTCTGTCAACTGTTCAACACAAAACAAGATATTTTAAAAGATCCTAATTGCTGGCACTCATTGACTTCAAGAAAACAAAACAAACAAACAAACAAAAAAAAAAACTCAATGTCAATGGCTTACAGAAACCAGCATTCTTCACAATATCTTCTTTTGTGTTTAACAGAAATAGGTTTTGAACAAGTGATGGGTGAGTAAATGATGACAGAATTTTTAACCACAGCAGAGTTTGTTTAGCCCCTGAGATCTATAGATTTTTAAATAAAATATCTTAATATGTCTATTTTCAAACAGCCCAATCTCAAGAGGAAGCATGCACTACTTGACAAAAATTTTGTCATCGATGCCGGTTGTAAGAGCAACATATAATAACTTGTCTTCTAGTTGTTCATTTGGAAAAGTGGCAGATGGTAGATTTTTCAGATAAATCATCTATTGAACTGAATCCCAATCACCACAAATACTGCAAAAGATCTATTGGAAGCCTCATGGACCCAAGATTATTGACCATGACTGGGGTAAGATGAAGGAAGTATTGAAGATGAATCTAAAGAATCTTAATGAACTCTGGAAGTCCTGCAAAAACGTTTTTTTTGCCATTCCAGATGACTTTATTAATAAGTTATTTGAGTCGTGGCGGAGATGTATGAATGCAGTCCTCCAAGCTCATGGGAGTCATACACAATATTCATTCTTTTTCCACGGCACCATGACTTTAAATGACAAGACTTTTGTCCTTAAGCAAAGACCTCACTGTCCTAATTAAAAATCAATGTATGATCAGGTTTTATTTTGGTAAAAATAAAACCGTAATCTAGCGTAAAAAAGCGTAATCTAGAGGTATTTGCCTTTCATTAATGGCACTTCTTATACTAAATAATCAACTAAGACTCATATTATTTATTATTCCTAAAAACTGGACAGGTGACAAGACTTTTGTCGGGTAGTGCATTTATTTTATATATTGTCAGAAAAGTGGCTTATCTGTACCTTTGTACCTGTAAGTATGCTTTTTAAAAGGAGGTGTTCCACCAAACCCTACCCCTAATTGTGAGATGAGCAAACTGGACTGAAATGTATGAATGAGATAGTTCAAATCAATATGAATAAGCCACTAAATCAAAATATTATGAATTGTAACAAGATTGCGTCTGAGTTCAATTTAATAAACACATTTATATTTTCTCACAGTCCATCTCATTCTGCTTTTTCAGGAATTTGTGCCATGTGTGGGAAGAAGGTTATTGACACCAAGAACTACAAACAGACCTCAGTTTGAATGGTGATACGTTGGAGATGTTTGTGAATGACTGCGTTGACTCTTCCTGTGTTGAGAATGATCATTAAGTTCACAAGAGTTCAGTTTGCAGTATTTTGTGGCAAACGGCTGCAGAATGGTTGCACTAGCTTATGACTGTATTTATATGAAAATATGTCAGTGGTATTTTTCTCCTTTTAGAGCAATATATTGGCTTGTACTGTTTGGATAATGTAGATGCCTTCTTATTTTCATTTTGTAAATGCTCTCTTCTCTTTTATTTTATTTTAATGACTGCAGTGGTTAGGCAATTCTAATAAACCAATCCCTGACAAGTTAGATTTTCTTTATAATGGTTTATTGCATTTCTTATTAATTTATTGGGATTATTTAGCCATCATAGCATACCAAAGTTTTTGACTTTTAAATGTTACCAGTTCCCATAATTGGTCAAAAATGTATATTTTTCTTGCTGTAAGGTGCAAAATCCAGTTGCTGGAGGGTCGCAGCTCTGCACAGTTTAGCTTTATCCCCAATTAAACACATCTGATCAAACTAATTGAGTCCTTCAGGCTTATTTGAAACCTACAGGTAAGTGTGTTGAAGCAGGGTTGGAACTAAAATGTGCAGAGCTGTGGCTTTTCAGGAACTGGATTTGACGCCTCTGCTATAAGTGTTTCTCAACCATGTTCCTGGAGCACCACCAACACTACATGTTTTGGATATCTCTTTTGTCTGTCACACCCATTACAGGCCTTTCAGTCTCTGCTAAAGAGCCGATGATCAGAATCAGGTGTGTTTGGTTAAGGAGACATGGAAAATGTGCTGAGCTTGTGGACCTTCAGGAACGTGGTTGAGAAACACTGCTATAAGTGATGTTTACTCTGTGTAAATCTCAGACTCGATTCCTGGAGGGCCACAGCTCTGCAGTTTTGTTCAAACCCAGCTGATCCAGTTAATCAAGGTGTTCAAAACTATAATGCTGCTGTCACACTGGAGTTTGTGCGTGCGAATTTCTGTAGTATGGCGCTGTGAAAATGTGCAGGATTAAACAAGATGATTAGACATTTAAAAAAGCGAGCGATTGGTCCATATTTGAAATTCCTGTCCAGAGAGGTCATGTTTTGTTCCTTGATTGGTCTCAAGCAGTCAAGTGATGCGATTTTGCGGGTTAGAGTTCACCAAGCTTGAACTTTGCAATGTAGCGAATTGCGAAACTTGTCACATGAGTTTGCTTTTCCGGTCTGACGCATTCGTTTGCATGGAAGTCTACGGGGATAAAAATGCAGTGCGACCGCAGCTTAAGTGTGTTGAAGCAAGGTTGGGACTAAACTGCAGAGCTGTGGCTCTCCATGAACTGGATTTTTATGCCTGTGCTATAAGTCTGTTTCTCAACCACGTTCCTGGAGGACCACCTCCTTTGTCTGTCACACTTATTACAGGCCTTTCAGTCTCTGCTAATGAGCTGATGATCAGAATCAGGTGTGTTTGGTTAAGGAGACATGGAAATGTTCAGAGCCGGTGGTCCTCCAGAAACGTGGTTGAGAAACCTTGCTATAAGTGAAGTTTACTCTACTGTTTAAGTCACAAACTCGATTCCTGGAGGGCTGCAGCTCTGCACAGTTTCACTCCAATCCTAATCAAACACAGCTGATCCAACTAATCAAGGTGTTCAAGACTACTAGAGACTTTTAAGCAGGTGTGAGCTGGAGGTGGTTGGAGATAAAGTATGCAGAGCTGAATCCCTGAGTCTAGGAATTGAGTTTGAAACCACTGCTGTATTGTGTCCAAGACAGTTTCACTACATAACTGTTGTAAATATGAAATGAGAGAAGTAAGTCAGTCAATGTGTAGTGATGCTGATAGTTAAAAGCCTTAATTAACTTATTGTTGTCCGACTTTTGTTTTTTTAGATTCTTGAACTCTATTTGTTCTTTCACCTTTCAGAAAGTGCTTAGACTTGGGTTTGGTTTATTTTAAATCAATGGTCTCAAACTCAATTCCTGGAGGGGCGCCATTCTGCATAGTTTAGCTCCAACTCACTCCTGCTTAATAGTCTCTAGTAGTCTTGAACACCTTGATTAGTTGGATCAGCTGTGTTTGATTAGGGTTGGAGCAGAACTGTGCAGAGCTGCGGCCCTCCAGCAATCGAGTTTGAGATCTATGCTTTAGTTGTCTTTTGATTCCACATACTCGTATGATAAAATGTTATATATAGAGAAATTAAGTGTTGTGGATGCTTTTGCAGTCTCTTTGATTATTTTGCCATATTTTAAGTGCAAGAAGGCACAACACAGCAATATTTAGATACTGTAAAATATCATAGTTTAATTAAGAATAGTTCATTTGAGACTGTTTTTACATCTGTAAATATTTCTTGCCGAATAAAATTTGTGACAAAATCTTGCAGAAATCATTTGCTTAACAAATCAGAGGTGGATTTCACAATGATGCTTTATTGTTGAAGATGGTGTGAATGACATCTTTCATTTCTGTTTGTACAATGCAGAGCTGTACATAATATAAAAATGTGACAATGGCAGTGCTTTTATTTTAAATAAACATTTTTAACTGCATACAAATGATGCCACACAGATATATCCAGAGGAACCTAATCATTTACTTGCACAACAACAAAAAATATATATTTTATTGTATTTGCATTTTGGCACTTTGAATATTTTCTAATCAGAGCATTTGACAAAAATACGTTTTTGGTTTTAAAAAAAAAAGTTGTGGATAAACTTTCCAATAAGTTAGGATTAGTTAACATGAACTAACAATGAAAAATACTCTTTTCTGAAGCACTTCTAAATATCAATATCAAACAAAAGATTTGAATTAAAATCAAAAGTGGTATATGTTAATATTTACTAAACCTGAGATAATAAAACAAACTAACCAAGAACGACTTATTAATTACTATATTTAAAATAACCAACGTTAACAAAGATGAATAAATACTGCAACAAATGTACTGTTCATTGTTAGTAAATGCATTAACTGGTGCTAATTAATCAGACCTTATTATAAAATATGAAAGTTGTATACAAAATAATTAATTGTTTTCATTTTTGTAAAAACTCATAAGGTTAGACAAGTGTATATAAGGAAAAAATATGAATTTAGTAATTGTTAACAGTAGAAATGACACATAAATTCAATTTTAAGGCAGCTCTGTGAATGTTTGGACATTCAATAATGGCTTCAAAATAGTAACACTGATCCTTCATATATTCACATTGAATATTTAAATATACGCAAACAGTGAAGACCCCTGAGCTGTTGCTGGTGGAAAAAAAACGATCTACAGCTCTGGCTCAGTGAGATTCACTAATAGCACCATGGAGCTTTTCAGGAACAATCGTTGACCTGTTTGGCTGTAAACACACTGATGGACTTAAGGGATGGAAGTGTGATCACTGCGCGCTTTTGGCCAGGGCCAGGAACTCCTCTCGGGCCTTTGGATCCTCTCTGAACACACCCAGCATCGCACTGGTCACGGTACGGCTGTTCATCTTCTGCACTCCACGCATGACCATGCACATGTGACTACAAAAACAAACAGCCATTCAGCTCGCAGATCCCATTTGATATAGACATTTTCACACTCTTCGCTGCATGACGAAATTACTAGACAAGACAGCTACTGTAAGCAAAAGCTTGAATGCCTCTACTGTATTCTGAGCTTTGAAGTTACTTTGTATGTAGTCATGCTGATTTGTGTTAAGGAAACAGATTTACCAAAGGTGGCTATAGGATGTGTAGTAACTAGTCAATGTTTATTAGCTGTATAACTTGATCAGGAGGAAAAAAGTAAATGAGATTTCATATTTACTATGTGGATAATATGAGTTACTAGTTACTTTTCAGCCACAGTTTGCTTAGTTTGTGTAATGTGATTGAATAGCTTTTAGACTTACGCTGCTTCAATGACAACTGCCACACCAACAGGCTGCAGGGCTTCAGAGATTGCCATCGCTATTTGCTTTGTTAGACGCTCTTGAACTGCAAAAAAGCAAAAGTGAGAGTAAAACACTGAGTATGCAATGAAGTGTGGTGCTGTACTGATTCAACACTAAGTTTTGAGATGTTAAACTTGACTATGCTCAGCATTTTTAATGCTCATTTCTTTATTATGCACAAGTTATTGGTGAGTAAAAAGACTCTTATATTCACAAGGATCAAATATATAGGACAGTAAAATCTGTCATCATTTGAGTTCAGATGCAAAAACCTCTAAATGCAATCTGAAGTTTTCTTCTAAAATAGGCATTTATAATATAGGCATCCTGTGTGTATGTTCAGTAAATCCACTTTTATGGCAAATAATTGGTTCTTAGCATTGTCTTTAAAGTGAAATAACTGCACAAAAATATTGGAGGCTGAGAAAAATTTTCTTATTAGAAAAAAATGCAGATGGCACTTAAGAGTTTTTTGCATCTGAACTATTTAATTATAATCGTAAAATATTGCTGCAACTAGGGCTGCATGATTAATCGAAAAAAGATCGGGATCTCGATTCAACCCCCCACACTATCTTAATCCAGCATCTGTATGATTCAATTATTTTTCATATCTAGGAGAGAAGCATAAAGGCACAAGTGTTCACATTGTTTTATATACTTTGCTCAGCAACGTGGACATCTAGCCTATATATCGTTGAATATAATGCAAGAGGCAATCTGATAATGACAATGTCTCATTTTACCTGTAAAAAAATGATCTAATAATGTTATCAATGACAGATTGCACATGTCTTAAACATAATAAATCAACTTCAGAATTATGAATATGTATTCACATTCAAATTTGTGATTTTGATTTTCAGCAAAAAAAAAAAAAAAAATCATGATTCTCATTTTAGCCAGAATCATGCAGCCCTAACTGCAATATAAAATTAAGGTTTTCTATTATGATACATAGAATATATATATATATATATTGGGTAGATTTACTACTTTTTTTAAGGTAAGTGGTTGCAAACAATTTATTTGGGCTGAATTTAAACATAAAATCTAGTAATGTTCAATTTAATTTGCTTTGTTTAAATTCAGCTTGTATAAATTGTTTGCAACCACTTACCTTAAAACTTTTAGTAAATCCATTGAAAAAAAATGTATATATCGAAACAAAAAACCTTTTATTTATATTGCAGGAATATTTTACAATTATGATTTAAGACAGATTTTACTGTTCTGCATATCTAATCCCTGGGAGCATAAGAGACTTCTTACAGACTTCTAAATCAGTCACATCAACACTATCTCAAGGCAATGGACCCTTTTCACAAGCCTGTAATGACGTGTTTAACAGTCACAATCTTAAATCCTTAAAAGTTTTTGATATTTAGATTTTTTTTTAAACAAATGAACATTTATATGTTTTTATGGATGTATTGTATCATCTTTGCATCAGATTACGAAAAAAACTAATTACTGCTTATGGTAGGCGTTTCTAATGCAGCGTCTATGTGGCAGGACAGTGAATTTAATGTTATTCTCTCTTCTGCCTGCAGTTATCAGTCTCACACTATTTTTTTTCCTTTTTCTGAAAGTCTTGATAACACCATTGCAGAGTTTTTCTTTTATTATTTTAGCAAATTGGATTGTAAAAATAATAATTTTTTTATACTTTCCCATTCACTGCGCTATAAGTTTACCAAACTATGATGCCTTCCGCTACCAAGAAACCCGGACATGTGAAAAGGGTCCATTCGTAACTTTTGTTTTAGTGGCTAATACGTATGAATTGGTAGTCTCATTCATACAATTTATTATGATTTGCTTATCCATTAATGACGGTTTGGTTTAGGGGCGGGATTGGGTGCCACGCCTCCTTTTTAAAATCCTACATTTTCTTACAACTGAACTCATATGAATTTGTATGAATTAGCAACTAAACTG